TATGCTCAACGGACGTTTAAAATCCACTTTAGCTACCATCGCGTCTCTCCACAATGGGACCACCCGGCAACGTTTACCGTCCAGCGAGATAAAGAAGAACGCTCGTGACCTTAAAGTAAGATCAATATTAAAGCTCGACATTAAATCTCAAAGGAAGTACTTTGTAGTATAGCTAGTCTCATTTTATCGTATGATTCTCGATGTCATTAGTAATTAATACCTTTATTATTTTCTATTCGCATTTAATCGTATCGAAAGATCAATTTAGATCAAGGAGATCGATTAATTTCTTTTCTTTTTTTTCTTCTTCGTTTTTTTTTTTTTTTTTTTATTTTTTTTTTCTAATCCTCGTTACACATCACTACTTCGACACAGATATTTTTCAAATTTCTATGAATTATATCAAAAGAGAATTTCAATCTACGTAACGTTTAATATTAGTATTATATACAGTATCGATCTGTGGGAATGGATTCGATAGACGGTAAATCAAGTTATATCTCTCACGAATTTTCCATCGATGATGAATCGACTTTGAATTACGAATCCCACGATATGGTGGTATTACTTTACGAGCGATCCCACTTAGAAATTGTAATCCGACGTATGAACGGCAGCCGTGGTTGTTCGAAAGACAGCATTCATCTCTAAGAGTCGATCGATCGGTTGGTCGGTCGGTCGGTCGGTCGGTCGATCGGTCGGTCGGTCGGTCGGTCGATCGGTCGGTCGGTCGGTTGGTTGGTTGGTTGGTTGGTTGGTTGGTTGGTGTGTTGGTCGGTCGAATGGTCGGTCGTACGGATCGATCGATAGATCGATCGATAGATCGATCGATGGAGGAAACGAGAAGGAGAAGCGTGCGAGAGTGCGCGAAAGTAAACGCCTTGTGTTTCTGCGTTTCCGGCGATGATTAACGAGCCGCATCGCCGCAGAGTATACGGCTTTTAATTTGTCTACGTCACTTTTTACAAACTCTTCGATATCTCATTTTTCAATTTGACTGACTTACGCTGATTGGCGTCGGAACCTTCCAATTATCGTCGTCCGCCAATGATGGCGCGCATGGTGAAAAGAGCCCTCGGAGCTACGCACAATCAGGCTATATTTTCCCAGAAGAGAAAGAGGGAGGATGAGTGGGAGGTGGAGAAAGAGGAAGAAACGTAGAGAGCTGCGAGCGAGGGAGGGGGGGAGGGGGATAACGTGTTTTTAATGCGTCGTAGTCGGCAATCTAGTCGTCACCAAAGTTCAAACGATTCTTTTTCCATTTGACAGTTAATCAGTACGACGTTCCAAGATTTTATATTTATTTCAATAAATTTTATTATAGCTAGGTATATTTAAATAATTATCTTTATAATCTTGGATCTTGTATTTTTCTATTTGTATGTGAATTATATCCAATTACGTCATACGTGTGATTCACTTATTAAGTGAATTGAATCAGTATGATTCCAATGAACCTTTCTTTTTCATTCTCTCTCTCTCTCTCTCTATATCTATCTATCTATCTATCTATCTATCTATCTATCTATCTCCTTCTCTCTTTCTCTCTTATCGATTTTTCGTTTCTTCGTATAGCTTTATTTTCCGATTATAATGCGCGTTTAATTATCCGCATCGTCTCTGGCTTAATGAAGGGTATCAATCTTCCTTGTACGGCATTCGTCTCAATTCCGCGTTCCCTCCGATCTCTCGGAGCGCTGTACTCGCTCTCCATTCATCTCACTCTCTCTCTCTCTCTCTCTCTCTCTCTAACTCTATCTCTTTCTTTCTATCTTTCTTTCTTTCCTTCTCTCTTTACAGTATCTCCGTCCCACGTAGAGAAGAGAGCGAGGCTTGCCTCGTGATTTCGATCGCTCCGTTCGGAGAAGTCATTCATAAGTGATCGCTCCTGTCGGAACTTCCTGCTTGTAAGCTCGCGTACGATCGATAAAAGCTATCTAACGAGGACTTCTTTAAAGACGTCTTTGCTTCTCCAAGGTTCAAGATAGTCTTTACGTTTTGTCGATTCGTTAGCTAAAATTTTATACGCATCTTTTTTTATACGCATATATGTATATATATTTATTTATTATAGGCGTATATTATCTGTTAATTCATAGGAATATCATTGATATATATATATATATATATATATTATATAGTAGTAATTTATAGGTATATTACATAAGTTAGACTTGAATCATTTCATTATGTTATTTTCTTTTATAATATTAAATTATACATATGCAAAGTGAAAATTTTATGTATTTCAAAAAGTGAAAAATATAAAAATAAATTATTTGTTATTTTATTATCGATAAAATATATTCATAAATTTATTGAGGTGTGTTCGAGTAAGAAAGGAATGAAAGAAATCAGTAGGAAAAGAATGAAAGTAAAATTTAAAGAAATAAAAAAAAAGAAAAAAAAAGAAAAAGAAAAGAAAGAAAAAAAAGAAGAAGAAGAAACGATAACGACTTTTTTACGAACAATTGTTCAAGAATCGTATGTATAATTCTCATTTGGAATATTGAAACAGCTCGTAAATTGGTACTCGTATTTACAAGTATTTTAACAATCCGACGATAAGTCGGCTTTCTTACGGTAAGGCGGATTCCAGTTGGCGGGAGCGATTGGACGATCGAAGAAGCCCGAGGATCTCTCAATTACGTTTCTCAACGAGTGTGCGTGAGAGAGAGAGAGTGAGAGAGTGAGAGAGAGAGAGAGAGATAGTAAGAGGGAAAAAGAGAAAGATAAAGAAAAAGAGAATGAGAGAGAATGAAAGAGAAAGAGAGAGAGAGAGAGAGAGGGAGAAAGAGAAAGAGGAGAAAAGAGGCGCGCGAGACGAACGCGTGTCGGTATCTACCTGCAAAATCGAGCCGGTTAACCTTCGACGGCGCGTTTTCGCAAGTGGTAGATGCGCGTGGGTCTCTCGCGCTCTTCGTGTCGCTATTGCGGATATGTACGATCAAGGGAAAAAGAGAAAAATAAAGAAAGAGAAAGAGAAAGAGAGAGAGAGAGAGAGAGAGAGAGAGACAAGTTTTATTGTACCTACAAAAGTTTAAGGGCGAATAATTTAAGCGTAGAAAAAAGAAAATAATAAAAAAAGAAAGGAGAAGAAAAGAAGAAAGAAAAAAAAAAAGGAAAGGATAAACGACAAAACGTATAATTTCATATTTTCAAAGGAGACTTAAAAATATTTACGAAAAATAAAATTCAATGAGAATGAATGTCCGTGTATACGTATAACGTAATAAATATCTAATAAATATATCGATTGTAATAAATATTTAATAAAAATATTAATTGTAATAAATGATAAAACGAAGAAAATTAATAGAATATTTTCAATTATTTATTTTCTTCATTTATATACGTCTATCTATTTATCTATATGTCTATTAGACGGATCGGAAAGTAATGTCGTTTTCTTAAATTAAATTCAATAAATTATTAACGAGTTTTTATTTTTAATCGCAATGAAATATCGACATGCGTAGAAACGACATTACTTTCTGGTTCTTCTAATATTTTATTTTAATTTTTTCCTTCGAAGAAATCGTGAAAGAGGACGTTCGATATTTTGCATTTAAGCTACTTAAAAGAGAGACCGACGAAAGTGTCCAACCACGACAACGATCTTTCCTCGATCTTTTTTTCTCGTAGGACGCATTTACGTTATTCCATGTCCGGCTACGTTCTATACTGCAATTTTATTCCATAACGATGTCCTTGCACACCTTCCCACATGGAGAAGATGTTTTATAATGGCGCGTAGCTCGGCCGTTACGCTTTCCCCTACGTCGTCGTACGTTGGTTCGTTCTCGTCTTCCAACGTCTCTCATCCTTTTTCATGGACCGAAGAATCCTCTCTTCTCATGAGAATCGCCATCGACGAGTAACCGAGAACTTTCCGACGTTATTACTCGTTCTATCTCTTTTTCTTTATTTCTTTCTTTCTTCCTTTTTCTTCCTGTTTTTTCTTCTTCCTTTTTTTTTTTTTTTTTTTTTTTTTTTTTTTTTTTTTTTTCTTACAACACTTGGATCTGCGACTTTCAAACGAGTATACTACGCGTTAAGATATCAGGAGATTGCCAATAAAACGTTACAGATCCTTATTGTTCGAGATCGTATCGATGATTCGATTTATACATAGACATTACGTAGTTTACGTAGTCCATTTAAATATATACTTTATTATAAAAGAAAATTAATAAAAATTATCGACAAGTAATTCTTTTATATAGATACATAAATATATTTATTTATAGAAATTATTTATTTACATAGATATATTTATTATACTATATCATACAAGAAAATTAATAAAAATTATCGACACGTAATTTTTCTATATACATACATATATACATACATATATACATACATGTATATATTATGGAAGTTCGTTAAATCTTTGCTATATAATTTCAACGTTTTATCATTATTTTATTAAGCGCACATAAGTAATATTTTGTTCCTTTATAAATATTTAGATGAGAAAGAAAAAAAAAAAAAAGGAAGAAAAAGAGAAGAAAAGAAAAAGAAATAAATAAAAGAGAAAGAACAGTACAGATAAAATATTTTTAGAATCTCGTTATAACGACTCTCATGTATTTCGTTCTTATAAATCCGTTTATGAGTGATTTAATTTAACAGCTAGAGTCTTTCGTGACGAAGCAACGTATTTGAATTTCTTATGAGAATGTAAACAAACAAAACGTGTACGTTGGTTACGAGTACCAATATATACGTACGTACTATACATAGATATCTGAATATCTATATAGATAAGTTTACGTACACACCTATTCGACCTTTCTCGTAAATATTCATATAACCACGTATAACTTCGTCCTTTATTTAGTCGAACGTGCGAAGGCTCTGGTAAAGGATCAGTTCGTTTGTTTGCTCCGTGGATGGCAGAAGCTTCAACGTTGCGTAATCGGACCACCGTCGTGCGTTTTACGCATAGAACGCGATCTTACGTTCGTCGCGTATATTCACGATAACTTGTCGTGTATTACACTGATAGAAGAGAACGAAAAAGAGAGACAGAATGAGTGTGTGTGAGAGAGAGAGAGAGAAAGAAGAGAAGAGAAGAGCTTAGATCGAGTCGAAGAAAAATGAGGCCATATACTAACTCGTTACCCATTTCCTACGATCGTCGCGAGCTCGTTTTACGACTGACGTAAGAAAATACTTGCGAGCTGTATTTACGTGCTCGTACACTATACATGGGCATTCTTCGTAGACGCTTATACACGTACAGGCTGATTCATATGTAACTACCTATTATTAAGATTTTTCATAACAGAAATCGTATGATTTGTATTTTATTGCATTGCTATATAGTTAAATCGATAAAGACGTTCGTAGAAAATTATTATCTTTCTAATCGATTTTATATTATATCGTATGAACGACTAAGGAAAAAAAGATCGAGGTATTTTTAATGAGCTATCGTATTAAAGATATTTTTCTCTTTTTCTTTTTTTCTTTTTTTTTTTTTTATTTTTATTCTTTATTTTTTATTTTTTTTTTTTTTACTTCTTCTTTTTTCTTCTCTTTTTTCTTTTTCTTTTTTTGTAGTCTCTATACATCAGAAGAAAAAGAAAGTTATTACATTTCTTTAATAATTAACGTATTCGATTTTATATATCATAATATATGTATTAATACGTGAAATGTTAGATGCTAGTTAATTAGAACATTTGTGATAATAATTAATCAACGAATATCCGTTGGTATAAATTTTTTCGTAAAGAAAAGATAATAATGAATTGTATAAAATGTTTGAATAACGAATTCATTAAGTAAAATAATTTTATTTATTCATTCACGTAGAACCAAGGAAAAGGACGATCCTGAATCATGCTGTAGATCGGTCGATCATCGTATATGGATTCGCATGCGTGCAAGCTAGAGGATACCTAAGCGGGGATTATTCATTATTTTACGACATGACCAACCTCGAATAACCAACGTCGTCTCTTCTCTTCCTTTCCTTATGCTTTTCCATGGATCTTGGTCTTTTCAAGTTTTTCATTTCTATATAGGTATGTCCTATGTAATACAACGGTGTATGGCTTCGTGTTATCGTCGTAGTTGCTATATCGCGTCGACATTGACTATAAATATTTCGGTAGCTATGGTTACTTTAACTACGTTTAAGTGACTTCCTATAATTTAGAAAGGTAAGGGATAAGAAAAAGTTTTGTTCTTTTAATCGTGATAAATACATAAGGGGATAGGAATACGATACAAAAGGAAAATAATAAAATACAATTATTTTTAATCTTACTCATCTTCGTTTATTATTTAATTTTATATTATACAATTTGTGCATTGAAAGGTATTTTATTACGATGAGAAAAATTAATCCTAATTATTTGATTCATTTTATTATCATTAATTTTATATTTATTATTTACGTTGGATTCGTCTCTTTATCGATAATTCACGTATTATCGATTACTAATGTTCGTATAGTAAAATGATATTGAGAATGTAAATAAATATCTTTGAAAAGTGCGAAACAAGAAAAAACAAAAAAAGAAAAAAAAAAAAACAAAAAAAAGAAAACAACAAAAAAAATCCAAAAAAGAAGGGGAAAAAAATTCTTTACCACAATATATCGTCATCGATGAAAGAAGATATATGTATTTTACATACGGAGTAAAAATTTATTTCTTCGAGTGTCAAAGACTATCTTCGATTAACGGGAATGTCTATAAATCATAGAACTTATATTTACTTTCTTTTAGTTTCGTGAATTTTAACGCAAAACCTATGCGGAAACAGTAATCGAAGATGACCGAGTTTTATTTGAAAATAAATATAACTAGATGATCATTAGATATATAACGTAATATTTTTCTTATTGTTAGAGATAGACAGAGAAATAAAAAAAAAGAGAGAGAGAGAGAGAGAGAGAGAGAGAGAGAGAGAGATAGAGAAAGAAAGAGAGAGAGAGAAAGTCACAGGCATTGGAAACCACTGTATTAAAGGCAGTCCGACGAAGCGGAAGCAGAAACGTTCAGAATGTAGAGAGAATGATAGAGAGAAAGAAAGAGAGAGAGAGAGAGAGAGAGAGAGAGAGAAAGAGAAGAAGAAGAAAGGGAAGGACGACATTTACGGCGTCAGAAACGTCGTTATCCTAGGGTTGACGAATACGACTGGTCGTAACGAGGCGGAACAAGCGGTGGTAACTTTGCGGCAGGTTAACGCTGACGCATACATATACATATACACATACACATATACACACACACACCATACAAATAAAAACATACATACACATATATATATGTGTATATATATATATATATATATATATGTGTATGTATATATCCGTACGCGAGAGAGAAGACATGCACGAACGTACAGACACATATAAATACCATCCTAAGATTTCTCTGGAAGAGTATGGAAGGTCGTCAGAGCAAGTCCCCATGTCGGGGAAGGCAAGCAAGCAAACTTATATAGTTAGATCCTTCCTCCTCATCCTCCGTGAATCGA